ACCCAAACCTAAACCCCTAAAATTGGCTGTCTTCTTTTATACATAGGGTTACCTGCATCACAAAAAACTTTTTTGATTCTTGAAACTGCTTGGGGAAATCTGACAGGAAATAAATATACAGTACTTAAAAATAATGCTTGTAATAATGTGTGAAAAAGTCTTGTCAATATTTCTAAACATTTAACAACTCTTTTCTCGAGCATGGCCACAAAAGTGATCTCAAGCAAGATTTTAAAAATCAATAATTCCACAAGGCAAGACTTAAGTAAGACCCAAAATATGTAAGAGTTCAATTGTAGTATTTCAATTCATGTTTCTAGCCCGTGCTTTTTGCTTAGGATTTAAAACACAGACATGTTTCACTTCTGGGCTTATGGAAAAGACAACAAAATGACTAAGAATTTCTTAAAGTCCTCTGAAGACCCCCCCTCTCATCTCCCCCTAACTCCAATATTCTATTCTCTGTTCTTTTTTAATTCTGTTTTCCTGTCGAACTTGTTGTCAGCCACACACTGCTTCTGTTTACTCCAGACTATTCCTTCAGAGAGTTTCTACCAGTATCTACAACCATCTGAGGCTGTCTTCCCTTGGGACAATTATGAATGTAACTAATGCACAAGATAACAAATGGAATGGCTGATTGGAATATAAAACTATTTAACTGTACCTTTTGTGATTTTTTTCTTTATTTACAAATATAGAGAAGTTTAAGTACAGAATTTATATTTTATAGTTGCCAGGTCATATGGTTTGGGGGGAACTTGACAAGATTATCATGCCAAAACTGTTTCATTATTATTGGTAGTACTTTTATTTTATTTTTGTTATCTAATCTTTATTTCTGCAAGATCCATTTTAAATGATGATTATATTGCCATGTCAGAGGTTTTATTATACAAAAATATATGAAAATAATAAAAACATGTACAGACTCAGATCATCTGGATAAAAGAGATACGATTTATACATGAACCAGAAAGTATTTATTTCAATTTTGTATCTTTCCATTTTAATACATTATAATGTTGTGACTGAAATGAAAAAAATATATATATAAACAGTTCATTTTATTATAAGAAGTCTGTGTGGTGTCTTTATTTAATTAATCCTGGCTTTACATTCTACAGTGCAAACGTCATCGTCTGAAATGGTTCCTGTAGCTGGGCCTTAGAAGACAGGAGCCTATTGCTTTGGAGGGAATACCCTTTGAAGGGGATACTTGATATCAAATAATGAATAGCATTCTATACACACAAAACTCTTGTACAGTGATTTACTGTAAATGTTTAAAATCTATTTATTAAATTATGTCTGAAATACACCAACCTACAATATATACATGTTTTTTCTCTCATCACAATTCTTGAACACATTCACAATTCTTGTGACTGCGGTCCTAGGGAATATTGACTCATGTAATATGGTCAATCCATCTATCCATCCACTTATCCATTTTCTAACCATTTCAACCAAGTCAGGGTTGCTGGGGAGCCGGAGCCTATCCCAGCCAGCAACAGGCACAAAGTGATACACCCTGGACAGGACGCTAGTTCATTTCCTGGCACACACAGAAACAGACATGATCAAGCACCTACTTTGCTTTATGTACGGAAATATTGATTTGTTTTTAATTGACATAAAAATCTGCTTTCTTATGAACAATAAAGCTGTAAACAGTGAACATGAAATTACTCAGGATACAAAGACTATAATCAGAGGTAGTAATGATACTAAGGGGAATATGGATAAGAAAGAAATTAAAAATATAAGTATATACTGTATATCAAAATTATGATAAATGTTGATCCTAGTAAATTATTTCCATATCTGACAAGTTTGCCTTTTCCCTTGCTTTTGTTGAAAAGTCTTTCCTTTGCCAATTTAAAAATCTCTTCCAGCTGTTCAGGTAGTGGTCATTTATAGAGACCTAGAGACTTGCATACATGGTAGCCGTCCAAGACCAGGATTGGACTCCCCTGCATAAGAACATTTTCTTTTTTTTCCAACAATATGACCACTGAACCTATTAATGAATCACACCCTTTTGTAGAGACATATACCAAGCTTACTGTGTTCCATCCTGCTTTTAGCCCATTGTTGCTGGGATGGGCTCCAGCCTTCCCCCCTGCAGCCCTGTACTGGACAAACCGGATACAAAATGGATGGATAAGTCAATCTCATATAGCTTTCTTAAGGAAGTACAATGCAGCTTAAAACTGATAATGTCTGAACTTGAACTAAGGCCCATAAAGCATAAGCATTTTTCTTTATAGATATTTACTCTGCAAACCTCCTAGCAATCAATCTAAAGATGTATTTGTAATGTAAATTTACAACCTCCAATTATTTTCTTTTATGCACCTTATTCACAATGCCAACTGTTTGTTTTGGTTTTTTTTTCACATTTAGCTCTCAGTCATAATCTCTGCAACTTCCTCAACCTAAGTGAATTGGGGAACTGGTACCTCTGAGCCACTCGCCTTTAAATACATCACAGGCAATACAGTCCCATACCAGAGGTCCAGCACTGTTTGGACAAGAGGCATATTCCTCAAGACACTTCATGCATGCAAGTATATAGCAGGTCAAAGGTCACTGTTTCAATGAAAGCCAAGAGAGCTCTGGCCTACTTGTCTCACCCTGCCTATCAGCAGACTGTGTGATCCACTACTTGGAAAAACACAGTCATTGTCAACTCATGACATGATCCAGCCTTGATCATAGTGCTCATCTAGCACTGTGGGTAAGTGCCTTTACAAGTTGAGCCACTCAGGAGGCCAAGCAATTTCTTTTTTGTTGGGTGGGGGGGGAATCTTCAATGGTTAGTTGGCAGGAAAGATATAGATACTGTACACTGGATCTTTGGATCCTTGGATGATGGATGATGGACAATTATCTCTAGGAGCACAGCAAAGTTGACTATTAAGAGGTGGAAGCTGTACTGTATCACCCAGATCTGGCTATCAATCCAAACTGAGAAACAAGGAGTGAATTGGTTAGGGATGGCACTGTGAGGCCAATGGTGACTTTGAAAGAGTCACAGAGTTCAATGGCTGAGAAAAGAGAAAATGTCCAGAAGTCAATAATCTAGTCCTTCCACAAAACCTGCCTGTATGAAGAGGAAACAAAAACACACAGCACTGAAATTTGTGGCAGGACTCAAAAATTGCTGTCCATCAACAAACCCCGCCCAACCACCCTGACAGATCTTGAGAAAGTTTTCATAGATGAAAGAGCAAAACTTACACCATTTTGGTGTGCAGGGTTGGTACAGACATAACCGAAAAGACACGCAGCTTGCTGCCAACAAATGTTGACTCATGGAGGTGAATACTCATACAACATTCATACATTTTGTAGTTTGGGATCTATTTTGTTATTTTTTACATCAATGATCTTTTTTCAAACATAAAAAGTTACTGTAAAATGTTTTAAGAGTAGAAAAAATATCCAAATCAGGGTCACAGTGGCCCAGAACCTGTGCTGGGAAGCATTGGGCACAGGGTAGCCCACACACAGATACACTCACACCATGGCCAATTTTTACAAAAACGAATTACCCTACCAGCATGACTTTGGACAGTGGAAGGAAACTGGAGCACCTGAAAGAAACCCAAATGAACACAGGGAGAACATGCCAACTACACACAGATAGCACCCCAAAAATTTAACCCAGATCCCCTTCACTGCAAGACAGAAATACTAATCCACTGCACCACCATTATGCACTAGAAAAATCATGTCAGTCAAAATGTTTTATTTTTCTGGAGTCTAATTAGTTTGTTTTGCCTCCTCATCATGCTTGGGTTGTGTCCATAGTTTGCATTTTTTCTCCAAGGTTGCGTGGGGTTTTGCTGTGTTCTCAGCATAGTGTGGTTTTCAGCTACGTTCCAAAATATAGTGGTTATTTTAGTTGTGATGTCTTAATCATCCCTGTGCGCTCTGAAATTGCCTGGTGTCCTGTCCAGGGTGTAGTCCTGTCGTCTTGCGCCGTTTTCTTCCTGGACAAAAACAAGCAAGAAAAATACCCTAACACCCACAGTTGTTCTAAGCATGACACAATATATTCAGTACAATATTTTTGTAAAAAATAATTTATTTAGAAACATTCATTGATGCATTATGATTACAGCTATTAGAAAATGTTATGATTATTGCGATATTAGACAAAACATTTACTTATTTATTTACATTTAACCCTTCCTTGGGTATAAGATTCCTGACTTGCCTGTTCCTGAGGACAGTGTTTTGTGGAAATGTGTTAAATATCTAGAATGTCTTTGGATTATTTTGAAAGTATTGAGAAGTTCATTTCTGTTGACAACAACCAAAAACATTTTACCATTGTTTTATATGTTAGGTTACAGCTAAGTTTACAAACTACTCAAATGCTATTAAAAAGAAGACTACTTTCAAATGACATCTTCTGAAAGGTGAAAACATACCATTAATTTCCTGAAATAACTACAACATGAAGATAAATCCTGTTGACATGGAAGATTAAGTGTACTCCCGGACACTTAATCTTGTTTCTCAGCAAACTAAGGAACTGTTATTAAAAAGTATTAACACGGGGAAAGGATTGTACTGTAACGGTAGTTCTATATTTTCATAATAAACAGAAATTATTTAGGGAGAGAGAAGGTAAAACTTAATTTTTTTTTAGTGACTTCTAAATTTCGATTCCTTAACGTTGGAGGAAACGATTCATTTACTTAATCAGTTCTAACTCAGCTCTGTCCCATTTATTTTTTTATCAAAAACATTAGCATACAATTGGCTTTTAAAAGAGAACTGTCTTGACTTTCAAAACTCTTCATGTGGACGTGTTAACATGCCAGCAAACCCATTTCCCATGTTTTAAAGCCTTGCAGCCGGAGAATAGGAATCAAACCAACAGCCCGTCCACTGTCAGCTATGAGTTTGGCTGCCTAATGCTGGAGGAGCCGCCGATAAGCCTGCATCGAGGGGCATGCTGGGAATCCTTTCTACGCCCAAGATGGCGGCAGGATTGAAAAGTTGACGGTGTTTTTGCTCTGGTTTTCAAGCACTGTATTTCTGGATATGTTGGTTTTCTGACCTCCGTTAGGGACTGCACTGGTTGTTGAAGGGAAGTACTCTCGGGAAAGGAGGATGAGACAACGGGAGAAGATGACAGATGCCTGTTAAGTAGCGCCCTGCTTGCGACCAGGGGGGTCCTGTTTCTGAGTGTTTTTGTGCATTGGGGGAAAAGTGCCGCTGCTGGATGGTAAATGTTGTTGTGGCAGCAGTGATGTCATTAGGGTCTCCAAGAACTCTTCCACTACGGCAATAATGAATACAATGATCTGCAGATAGAAATGGAGGAAGATGGAAAGAAAGCAAAAAAGGTAACTTTGTTCTAAACAGTACACAAGTTCACAAGACTTTTGATATGCAATTTGAACGCAGCCGGTAATGCACTGATATCGCTTTTCTGTCTTAGAAAAAATGCTAATATTCTTCCTGCAGGGTCTGCGTTTAGTGCGCCAGAGGTTTGTATGTGTGCGTTATTTTGAAATATTGGTCACATCGACCACTATTTGAGGAATTCTTCAGTGTTTACTTCACACTCCAGCAGTTTCAACTGGGCTGTGACAGTAACTAGAATCTCCAGGTTCCCACCCGGTTGTTTGACTCTCTAATTAGGAGGATATTCTCTGCAAAGTAACTGGATGTTTTTATTTTGTCTCATTTTATCTTTGGCGAACGTTATTGTAAACTTGCATTGAACGTCTTCTCTATTTCCTTTGCGTGCCTGCGGATCGTTGGGCCGGTGTAACTGCTGTTGGTGAACCGTGTTACTCCTCCAAGTGGATTTTGGTCGATGAACCTTACCGTTGTGCTCCAAAGAAACAGCCCAAGGTGGTCGCGTAGCTCGCTGTTGCAAAATGACCTCTGTTCATATAAATACATGTCACTAAAGTTTCGACAGTAAATGTTTCGTAGTTAAGTATCGATAAGCCTGGGCCGTAAGTAATCACTTCTGTATTTTTGTTTCAGGATTTTAGCGAATATAATTGAATCAAGCATAGCATCAGTTCCGTTAAGCGCTTATCCAATTCAGGCACATCGGCTCCATTTTTTAAAGACCAGTTAAGTTACCTCCGTGTTTTTGGATAGCTTGAGGAAACCTATATGAACATGCAAGCTCCACACAGATAGCACCCCAGGAACTCTACCCAGGGCTCCAGCTGTGTCACCTTTATTTATTTATCTAGGTAGTTTGTGCTTAGTCAGTTATTAATTTCAGTAAGAAATTAAATGATTTAGCCCTTGTAAACCTAGTTTAATGCTCACAATTTGTAGAGTTCTTAATACCAATGCTTTGTAAATTCAGGCGATATTAAAACCTTAGGCTTTTATCTGCTGGGATGCAATGTTTCTCTGTAGCATTTGATCCTTCCAAGGATGCATGTGTGTCTTGAAGGGTTTTAACTTGTTTGAGTTCAAAGCTTGCAAAGTTAAGTTGAAAAATGTTACAGATTTGATGGATCTTATGACTGTAAGGTGACCTTTAGGAAGGATTCAGACTTGCAAGGATATGTTTTCTCGTGGACAATATCTCTGGTATCTCAGAGCAGTCGCTAGTACTGAAATTTCCTGTTTAAAACTGACTTTTGTGTTTGAACCGGCCTAAAAGCCAGTTACTGTAAGCTACCAGTATGGTTTGGGACTGTGGGATGAAGCCCGCGTGAACATGGGGGAAACTATGTGACTACTTATGGAAGTAATAATAAGTTATATGCCTTTTCTTTCAGGGATTGTATGTACCTCTCCTATTGCCCCCTCGCATAGCAATATGTCTGTTAAGATTGTCCATTGACTAATTAGTTCCAGTTTGAAGATCCATTTATTTTTATGAGACATTGTAACTTAATGTGTAATAGAATAATAGGCAGAGTCCTAAACAAAGGTCTATAATTTCAGGCATACGATGAGCAAATGAGACAGCAGTACAATGGAATAAGATAGAATTGGAGAAAATAGATGGCAGCAGTTAGGCAAGATATTTTGCCTGAAATGTAGAATAAATTCATCCCACGAATGAATTAAAGGGAGCAGAGCAGTGGTTCTAATGGTTTAATAAACCTATTAGGAAAATATAAGAGGAAAGAAAGCATTTTGTACTACAATTTAGAAGGAACAGAATCTGGTTAAAGAAATTGACTCGTTTAAGATTTGTGCTCTATTCTCTATGCTTGATTCCGTCCAGTTCAAGTTAATATTGTACTTCCTTTAGCCAATTATTTTCCTTAGACATTATGGCTAAACAGTGGATACTTCTAGCCACGCCAGTCTTGTTTTAGCCTGTTTTCAAATGTGTTCTATAATTTTGTATTGTTTTCAACTTTTTATCTTTATATACATGTTTGGCTTTTAGTCACCTTGTGTAGCTGCTAACTTGCTTTGTTACTCACCAAAGAGGGTTATGTGTAGTCGCCCACGTAACCCCAAAAATAGTCTGCCTAAATGCTAAAAATACTACATATAGAAGTAGAAAAACACAATGACATTGAACATTTTTTCTGAAGTAAGTGACAATGGGTGTCACCCATTCATATTGCAAGGAATAAAAGTTATGAGTAGATATGAATGTTTATTAGCCTTATGTTTTTTACTACATATAATTCTGCATAACTTAATATACTGTATGAAATTAAAGTTTGTTGAAAGTCCATTTGTGACTGTTAACCTAGACTTTATTAACATATAAAGGAGAAATTAGAATCTGTGAGATGGTTCTGTCTCCTTTATATTATTACCAGAGATTGTGCTTTAAAGGCACAAATATGTGTGAGAAATCCCTTTAAACCAAACTGAAGAAATATGTAGTCCTCTATGAATATGTTCAGACCATTCAAAGTCTGTTAAGCCTGATGTTTCAATTTTCAGAACTTGCTGTGTCACACTCAGATCATGTATATTTCTCCTTTAGGAAGGTGTTTTTCTTTCACACAGTGCAGCTCTGTGCTTTTGTTGGGGATTGTACTTAATCTTTTGCTGATTATTAGTATTGAATTATTGGTTATGATTATTACCATTAGAAGAAAATGTAATAAGCTTTGCATTCAGTCAGAACACTAGCCAGAATTAAAATACCTGCTCTAACTTCCGATGTCCTGGCAATGTATGTTTGATATACCTCTATTGTATAACAAGAAAAGAAACTATGCTCAATGTGTATTTGATCACATTTTCTGCCTGGAGAGGTTTATAGTCATATAATCTTCACTATATTTTGTATTTTGCAATGCTATTTTGTAATTGCAACTAATAGGAGATGAGCATGAAGCAATAATCTTGACTGAAGTCTGATAGTTTGTTTTTTCTTGCACAGTTTAAACAATGCTAAATGTATGGGCTGAAAATATTTTGAGTGGCAGCTTATACACGTTTTTGGGATCAGTGTCTTTGAAGCACAGCATTTTGAAACCATGACTCCCACACCATCCTGTACTGTACAAAGTCCTTATTTGAGACAGTCAAAGATTTATTTCTGGATGAATGTCAAAGTCCTGTTTGTGTGAGGCAGAGCAGGCTTAGAAACATTAATGTCGGACTGGGATGGACATCCTTAGAGAAGCTCTTATATAGAAAGGGAGAGATAGCAAAAGTAAGATTGTGTGAAGCACCCATGATTAAAAAGTCATTTGCTACAGGATTTTTCAGACAAAGGCCTGGTTACAGCTGTTAAGAAAATGTTCCCTCTGCTGAAAACACTTTGTGGTTTTTGGAAAATTCTGTGTCTGTTGTTGTGAGTGTTTATTCCTAGAGGTTCTAAAGTATGAAAAAATCATTAAACTATCATTTAAACTATGTGAAAAACATTATTTTGTAGTGTTCCGTTTTTCAAACTCAAGTTTAATCACAGCTTTCTCTATTAGTAATATATTTCTCCACATCAAAGTTTTATTTGGCTCAATAAACACATTTAATTTGCTCTGTGAATTTGTATTCACGTTGACTTAGATTGAATATAAATCGTTTCAGCTGGTTTACTTCCAGAGTCAAAGTAGGCAGAATGTGCAAGTCAGTATAGAAGTTCTATTTTAATAAAGGGAACATTCAGATAGGTTTTAGAAGTTTAAACACCCCCCCCAAATTCCTAAAAAATGTAATCCATATGAATCGGGAAAGATATCTTGTGATGTTGTGAACTACAATTGTGTAACTGTATTTTAAAATGATTTATTAATTCCATCAGATTTTTTGATTAATCAGGGAATTTCCCTTTAAAGAATTCACTTCCTTTGTAAATTGTTGGAACAGCATGCTAAACATCCTTTTGGCAATCAAGATCCTGTGAAATCACAGTAATGCTCACAAATTCCATCTTATTCTGTGGAGCTAGTTTTAATATGATATGTGCTCTGTATTATAGTCGGTTTGCTCTCAAATTGTGCTAGTGACTGTTCTCACTAGGGAAAAATCTGCATTCCCAGACATCTTGTTGCATTCCCAGACAAAAGGTTGCATGCAATTCCATATGGAAATTCCTTTATGTTTTGGTGTTAAGCAGTATGGCGATAACTCCTCTAAAAAGTGGGGGAAGGGAAAATAGCCACAAAGGGAACACTTACTGTATATTGTTTTGTAAGAGATAGGACACAGGAATGATAATTATACTGTCTTTAGAAAGCTGTTTGAGAACTCAAGATAAAGCCTTTCATTTTGTAGTTTGTCTCCAAAATGTAAAATTTAATTCCAGACCACCATGTGACTGAACAGATCCAAGAGCTGTAGCTTTATGTAATGTGAAATTCATTGTATTATAATACTAGGAATTCAATTTCATTTTTCAAATGCCTCCCTATAGTATGTTTATTGACTGGAGGGACTCAAACAGTAACCTTGGAACACATATTACATTTACTGTTTTTTTAACCTGCTTATTCTCATCATTTCTAAATGCTCATATACACCCAGACCAACAGACCAACATTCCCAGACCAACATGTGTTGATGCATTAATTGTATGTTGTCTTGGTTGCAACGCCAAATACAGAATATCCTGTGTGAGAGCTTCTTTTCAACAAAATATTTGTAGCATTTTCAAGTACAGTTTGTTGGAAGATAGATGTCAAGTATTAACAAGGGTGTAAGAAGAGGGGCAGACTTAACAATGACTCATTTTGGAGTGGTTTTGATGATTTAAAATTATATATAAGTTACTATCCTTTGAATGCTTTACAGATAGCCAGGTAGATCTGTAGAATGAATGCAAGATATGACCTCTTTATATTTTATATAGCTGGGAGCCTTAAAATAGAACATTTTCACTTATTAATTACTGAAATTGGCTAATTAGTCTTCAGGCTTTTTCCAAATAAATACACCAAATGTTAAC